GGGGAGAATGGGCACTGGTGGAGGGATGGGTGTTCAATCATTGTATAACTGAAACCCAAGCACACACACACACACACACACAAAAGTACAGTCTACAACTGTACCTCATGGTGTTTCACTAATAAATTTTTTTTAAAGTGAAAAAATAAAACTAAGCAGCCTCTGAACAAAGTGGGATAATTCAGATAAAAATTGCGTCATTTTTTATAAAATTCTAACTCTGATTTGAGGGTATTTGCAGGAAGGAGCCAGCCATCTTATGCTCACGTAGTTCCCTTCCCAGTGCATGAGCCTGGTGTCTGGTCACCAAATAAACCTCCAAGGAATATTGATTGATTTCAAGTGGAGTATACCCATATTTAATCTTATTTTTCACACATAACACACACAGATACTAACCTAGTTTCATATTCATTTTCAAACTCTCACTAGGCAGATTTTTCTCTCTTTTCATACAATGTTGCTTTTATCCTTCATTAGCTTATGTCTATGCTTTGGTTGGAAGAAACACACAGAAAAAAATGCCTTTGGAGTGATTGTACCTTTGGGGAATGACATCTTGCCTCTTTCAGCAAATGTCCACTGTCTCAGCTTTCAGTGACCGCACTGCCAGCCCCATCCTGCCACCATTCTGTAGTCTTCTTCATTCTTTAGTCCCGTCTCAACCTTCCTTCAGCAGTCTTTGTCATTGTCGGTACAGCATGTCTTCCTCATTTTTGTATGGATTCATTTCCGTTAAAGATGTTACCTTTTTTGCCTACTCCAGATTTGTTTCCAGTTAAATGTTTCCTTGGGTTTCCTCTCCTGATTATTTAGTGGTTTCTCTGAATGTTGTCTCCACTGTATTTTGAGCTTCTCCTTCTGCATTTCCAGCTGTCTTTCCCGTTGTCCCATTTTCTTTTTACACCATTTCTTCTCTTTTTTTTTCCAGGGGTAGAGGGTGGTAGGGTGAAGAACCACACCAGACTGTGGTTAGTGGACTTTGGTGCCAGGGATCAGTTATGCAGGACAAGTGCCTTGGCATGATACTCTCCATGTCCATCCATTTATAAGTGAATTTCATGACTTCTTTTTTCCTAATGGCTGCATAGTACTCCATTATGTAGATGTACCATAGTTTCTTTATTAGTCATCTATTATCAGGCACTTGGCTTGTTTCCAGATTCTTGCTATTGTGAATAGTGCTGTGATAAACATAGAAGTGCAGATGACATTTCTGCTATGTGTATTTGGGCCCATAAATTATATTCCCAGAAGTGCTGTTGCTGGTTCAAATGGGAACTCAATTTCTAGTTTATTGAGGAATGTTCATATTGTTTTTCAAAAAGGCTGAACCAGTTGGCATTCGCACCAATGAAGGAGAGTCCGTTTCTCCCTGCTTCCACGCCAGCACTGGCATTATAACTATTTTTAGTTTGAAGTCCATGTTGTCTGATATAAATATGCCACCTCAAGCTTAATAAGAGATTGTTAATATTGTTTTTTAGCCTTTAACTTTATTTGCCCAGACTGTACAAATGTTTCTCTTGTCAGCAAGATAATACTGGGTTCAGTTTTGTGGTAAATCCTGCTAATATGGATCTCTTGATTGGTTAATTTAGGTTATTAACATTGCATGACTTTTTTTTTGTAATGGATCCCTGTGAGGTGCAGTTACAGATTTACAAACTTTCGTGGTTACGTTTCAGTCATACAGTGCTCAGTACCCACCCCTCCACCAGTGCCCATTCTCCACCACCAATGATCCCAATGTGCCTCCACCCACCCCCACCTCATCCCCCCCACCCCGCCCCACTTCTGTGGCAGAGCATACCCTTTTGCTCTCTCTCTATCTCTTTCTCTCTCATTTTAGGTGTTGTGATTTATTGCATGATAATATTAACAAGATTTTTCCCCCTTTCTATAGCAGTTTGGTATGCTTGATAAATTTATCTTGTTTTAGACAAGATCCTTCAATGTTTCTTACAAAGGGATGAATTTCCTGAGCTGTTGCTTCTCCATGAAGCTCTGTATCAGTTCTTCAAATCTGGATGATAGTCTAGTTGGGTAGAGCATTCATGGTGTGGTGTTCATATTGAATTTTTTCACTATAGCAAACCATTTTCTTCAGCCCTGCAGCACCTCATTTGATAGATCTGCTGTGAATCTTAAGGAAGCTCCTTTGTATGTACTTTTCTTCTTTAATCCTGATGCTTCCAATATTTAATATCTTTCTTTTTTGTCATCCTGATTATTAAAGATCTTGGTTTTATTTGGGTCCTTTTGATTGATTCCCTTTGGGCATCTTGAATCTGAGAGTATGCACTTCTCAGCTTTGGGAATTTCTCAGTGATGATTTCTTTGGCATGTTTCTTCATCAAAACTGTCTTCTTATTCTTCAGTGTCTCCAGTGAATTTTGTGTTGTTCCTCTTGAACTCATTCCAGAGTTCTATCACATGCTTTCATTTATTTTGAGGCCTTTCCCATTAATGTTGTTTTTAGAGGTTTCCCGCATCTCATATGGGAGCTCACTGATTTTATCTTCAGCTACTGTTACTCTGCTGCCAAAGCATTCCATGGAAGGTTTTTTTTTTAATTATTTATTTATTTCACCTACCACACTCTTTAGTTCTGTCATTTCTGATTGTAGTTTTCTCATTTCTGAACTCATTCTTTGTTGTACTTGCACCATGGTTTCTTTGAGCTCATTAAACATGCTTAACATGTTGCTCTAAAGTTCTTATCTGAGATGTTATAGAGATGATTAGTGCTGGTTGAGTCTTCCAGGCTATTATCTTCAGTCATGAAATGTGGTGGGGTTTTAAACTGCTTCCCCATTGCATTTGTTGCAGTTTGAAGGTGAATCTTTCTAATTCATCACTTATGCTACCCCATCCCCCACCATCATCACCACCAGAGGCTCTCTGGATAATCAAGTGGGTGTTTTTCTCTTCCTTCAATTTCAGTGGTATTCAAACAAGTTTTCTGCTACTGATGAGTAGAGTTTTGTATTAGAGTTCCAGAAAAAACTTTCAATGTAATTGGCCCTGCCACTACTCTGGCAATAATTTAGGGTTCTATGATTTCTTCCTACCATGGCTACCTCTGTTTTTGTGGGAATAGGTGATTTGAATTAGTATTAAGTTAATATTAGTGTGGTAGAAGGCAGCTAAGTCATTCCATAGTGAGTTTACTGTAAGAATCCATCATGTACCAAAAGATATGAAGGAGGGAAGTATCTTTAAGCCACATTTGCAGCCTCTTGCTTCTCAGAGCAGGGCAAGATAGCAGATCCTGGTTTTAGAGTGCTTGCTTGAGTGAGCCATCCAATATTCTCCAGGGAAATCAGGGTGAATAGTACCAAAGTGTTGTGCTGGTCTCTGTGTTTCTCTGTTTCTTCTTTTTAATCTTTACTTCTCCACTCATTCTTTTTTGCTTCTGAGATCTTTTACCTTCCTCACTATTTTTCTTTTTTATTTATTTATTTATTTATGTTTTTTTAAATACCCATCCCTCCACCAGTGCCCATTTCCCACCACCACGGATCCCAGTATCCCTCCTACCCTCCATGCCCCCCATCCCACCCTGCCTCTGTGGCAGGGCATTCCCCTTTGTTCTCTCTCTCCTTGTGTGTGTTGTGGTTTGCAAAATAGTTAAGCCTGTTTTCAGGAGAAATGTTGGATGGTTTACTTTCCATTGATCACTTTGTATATAAGGAGATGTCGCGCGACCACGTAAGCTACTGTAAGCGGCTGCGCGGTTTGGAAAAAATGTCCTGGTACCCGCATGCCAGAGCTATGCTTGTAGAAGCTCATGGTCACCAGGGTTCCATCTGGAGAAGACAGGACAGCAGCACCTACCCCATCTGGGACCTCCCAGTGATATGGGCTCTGTTTGGGACCTGGAGCATTCTCCAGGAGCTGTGGGGCCCTACAGCCAGTTTTCTTCTTTGTTGCTGTGTGCTGTAAGATGGCGCTGGGGGGTGGGTTGTGTGACTTCCGGAATCAGAGGTTGCTTGGGAGCCGGGGCAGTTTCCCATTGCAGTTTGGAAAAAATGTCCTGGTACCCGCATGCCAGAGCTATGCTTGTAGAAGCTCATGGTCACTATTTCTTACTTTGATATGCTCATGTGACTTCGGACCAGCGTTCACTTGAGCATTGACTTTCTTTCCTTTTATTATTGGGCCCTAATTTAGGACAAGTCTGAAACACCTGTACACACAAAATGACAATACCCTTTTTTTTGCTCCTACCAATATTATACATTGGTAACAAATCTGTACCATTTTATGCTCATTTTCAGTTATTTTTCTTGAACATCCCTTGAAACTTCTTTAGGGTCTTCTTTATCTGTGATCAGATTTAAAATTAGGGGGCACAGGGGACAGAGAGACACTGTAGTGTTGAGGGAAAGAGAGGGAGAGGAGGAGGAAGAGGAGGAGGAGGAGAGAGAGAGGCTTGGGGTGGGGGAGGAGAGATAGACACTTAAGATAGGAGGAGGAGGAGGAGGAGGAGGAGGAGGAGGAGGAGGAGGAGGAGGAGGAGGAGCAGGAGCAGGAGCAGCAGCAGCAGCAGCAGCAGCAGCAGCAGCAGCAGCAGCTTGGGGTGGGGGAGGAGAGATAGACACTTAAGATTGGACCTGTCCCTAAACGCATCATTCCTTGCCCTCACCTTACTTACTACAAGGCCTCTTTCTAAGACTGCATTGTCCTAAGTGCAACCAAGTGTTGACACCCTTTCTTTTTAAGAACCAAGACTCATCACTGTTTTGTAAATAACTACATGAAAACATCTCACATGGAACCCTTCTAGTTTATCACCTTGTAGTCATAGTATGTTTTCTATCTAAAGAAGCAGCTTCTTATTTCATCTGTGTATTGATTTCTTGACTTTTATTTATGCCATAGTTTTATTATGTTTCTTACACCCTTAGTGTGTTTATAACCTTAGGATAAGTTAGGATTTGATTTGGGCCAAAAGATATTGTTTATTTGTATGTTTTGCTTATTTTTCCTGCTAGTAAAGAATTGTAAAAACAGGTCGGCACGGCTCCGTGGTTCGTGCAGCAGCCGGAGAAGAGGTGGTGGACGTCGGTGTCTCCTGCTGGGCTTCTGTGCGCTGTCCCCCCCAGGGTATCAATGCAAGCCTGAATAAGGAAACAACTTCTTCTCCTGAACCTTGGCATATCAGTTGTACAGAAATATTACTTTGGGAAACAGTCTTCAGGAGATTCCTGATGAGCTCAAACAGTCTCAGCAGATCACCCTGCAACTTGCCCTCCAAGTCCTACTCCAGTTTGATAAGGCTATAAATTCAGCACTGGCTCAGAGGGTCAAGAACCGAGTCAACTTCAGGGGCTCTCTAAATACATACAGATTTCGCGACAATGTGTGGAGTTTTGTATTGAATGATGTTGAATGAATTCAGAGAGGTGACAGAACTTATTAAAGTGGATAAAGTGAAAATTGTAGCCTGTGATGGTAAAAATACCGGATTCAATACTACAGAATGAATAGAAAATGCAGTGGCTTTTTTATGCCGACTTCATTATCCACTATTTGGAGAGAAGCACAGAAGAGACTTTTTTAATTTATTCTAGCATCGCAGAAATCACTACACTGTGCTAGACTATCAGAATCCCATTAGAAAGACACCTGTACTTCTGTAACATCTCATAATTGTTATGATACAGCATGAAGAAGCAGCTTTTTTCAAATGACAAATCAGACATTGTTGTTGCCTTTCTAAGAACACTCTTTAATAACTTCATTTTAAAACAAACCAAAAAAATGAATTGTAAAAATGAAGAGAATAAGAAGAAAACACACAGAAATGAAATAACAACCTAAACTGAGTGGAATTTCTCTTCTGAGTTCAGAGCCCTTCTGTGCAAATGAAGAAGCAAGGATAAATTATTTCTTTTAAAATAATGTTTTATTGATGTTTGTGATGTTTTAAACTTATTACAAAACTGACTTTTGCTGGTCAAAGTACTAGTACTTGTATTTATTAGTAACTTCATCAAAATTACATTGCACAGCTGGCAAACCAATAAAGAAAAAAACATAATTATTATATTATTCGGCAAACATGAAGAAAAGTTTTACATTGTTAGGTTGTTCACTAAGTAATGATTTAATATTGGTCTGTCTCTGTAATATTTATCTATCTAATGTGATTAGATATGTGTTACTATCCTCAAAATATGAAAAAACTATTTTTGAAATTTAACTTTACTTAAAAGAGCACTGTAAATTCCAAATGGTTCCAGTTTTTTTTTTTTAAAAAAAAAAAGCATTAGAAAGGAACAAATGCTTTTTAGAATCAAATGTGTGTTTTTAATTAATCACAAATGTAACCTGAATACTCATAAACTAAAAATGGCTTTGACTCTTCTGGCAACAGTACAATTTATTTATTAGGAAAAAAGGGTTTTATATTTAAGTATGTAAGTAATTTGTATGCTTAATGTTTATTTTAGTTTCAATAATTGTTTCTAAATTGATAACTTGCATTTATTTCTTTAGTACCAAAATAATAGGGTTTTTACCTTGTAACTATTTTGAAGTATGATGTTACATATGTGCTCAACTTTCTGAGGTTTTTTATTCTTCTCTTTTCTCAACTATGTGACTGTAATTCTCTCAATAAAATATTTAACCCCAAGGAGGTCAGAATTTATTTAAACTTAGAAAATATATTTACCAAGTTAGACCATTGATTCTACTGAAATAAGAAATGAGAAAAACAGTGTTGGTCATTGAGGTGTGAATTTTCCCAGATGTATACCGATGTGAAATATATTTTAGCAAAAATATATTTTGCTCCTATCCTTGCACATGTGGTAGGGGCATGAAAATGGGTAAACATGCCTCTGGTATGTGGAACTTGAAAAAGGCGGGGCCTTTCTGAAAGTGGCAGTGGTGTGATGGCTGCTGAAGCCGGGGCAAGCAGCAGAGAAGTCTGTTCCCAGAAGAATTGTACCCCACCCAGTCCTCCTGAAGGCAGACATGGCCTGTGCTTATGCATGTGAAATACAGCTGGTCGCAGCCTGCTCGAGGGACCTGGGAACAAGTATTGTCTCTGTCTTGTGAAAACATTTGATTGAGAAATAAAAATATTTTGTGTCTCTATAATTTCAGCTCATTGATATATTTGTTGATTTTCTGTTTTGGTTTTAATCACAAAATACCAAGTTGTAGACATGCTTTACATCAAGTCAATTTGCCTAAAAATAAAAGGTTTTGAAGTTTAAAAAAAAATTTTGGCATGAATGTAAAAATTTTGTTTTAAATGAACATTGTGACAGAAATTACTGGTTTTAAATGGTGAAGACTGGTGAAGACTTGGTATTTTTGTAAACTTATAACAGATTTATTTCCAGAACAATGAATACTTGACTTTAATTTATTCGGGCTGGAGCGATTGCACAGTGGTAGGGCATTTGCCTTGCACGCAGCCAACATGGCTGACCCGAGTTCGATTCCTCCGCCCCTCTCAGAGAGCCCGGCAAGCTACTGAGAGTATCTCGCCCGCATGGCAGAGCCTGGCAAGCTCCCCGTGACGTATTGGATATGCCAGACACAGTAACAACAAAGTCTCCAATGGAGACGTTACTGGGCCCGCTCGAGCAAATCGATGATCAATGGGAGGGCCTTTACTCGAGCAATTTTATTTGTAAAGTTATGGATTTGTTTCCTTAATAAGATATTTTCTCTTTAGGAATTCAGTGAGAAACTGTATCTGAGAAATAATTTACCACTTGTTAGCTTTATGTGACATGCCACTTTTGTCTTATTTTAACTCACAAGTATTTTCTGCTTGATCACTTTTGGGGGGCCACAGTCAGCAGTGCTCAGGGATCACTCCTGTCTCTGTGCTCTGCTTTCTTGTGGGGCTTGAGGGACCATAAGTGGTGTCAGGAATCAAGCCAAGCTCGGCCATGTGCAAGGCAGGTGCCTTGTCCACTCCACCATCTTGCCTGCCCCAACTCACAAGTATTTTTAAGGTCATTACAAAGCCCTAGTCACAATAAAGAAATTCATGAACTTACACTTGTATGTGTAATTTAAATAATTTCATCAATAGGTCATATCTGTTAATATATGGGAACATTTTTCAACAGTCTGACTTTTAAAAACTATTTATTTGGTGATTTTATTTCATTAAAGTTACCTGTGGAAAATATGTCCCAAATTTCTGTATCACATGACCTCTTTGCTTGGCACACCATGCCCATTCGATAGTTAAAGTCTTCCCCGTCTTGTAGTACTGGATTGGGAAAGTAAAGTTATCTTATCCAGGTGCTTGTGGCCAGTAAATGTCAGGGCCAGCTGGAAATGAAGGCCAGTTAGGCTCCAATGAGATGTTCATGTGTTATTCAATTTTAGCTGCTATATAAATACTTAGAGAACATTAGCACACATGAGTAATTAATACATCAATATTGGGTATACCTACTGCAATGAAAACCAGGAACTAGAAGCATCTATTATGTCTTCAGTGCAACAAATGAAATATTCACTGAGTGAATTTTTAAAGGAGTACTGAAAATCCATATTCCATACTACATTTTCTCTTTAGAAATACATTTGATGCATGTACAATGACATTATTTAAGAAACAGGGAAAGCGCCATTTCAGTCCTGTGAGAAATAACAAAAACATCAAGAATCACGTCTGTCAAAAGGCTCTGTTGACTAGAGAACTCAGTCTATGGATGAACCCAATGATTTGCAGGGGAATTAGATGTCAGTAACACTTAAGGTTAACAATGAATCAGCTTAGCAAAAGCAGACAGCTACTCTCTGCAGAGACCCAGGAAGCAAACTTGGTAATGAGGTACTTCATTCATCATCTCCTTCTGCTCTAATTATTGAAGTGAATAGAAAATACTTTAACTTAAGACAGGAACTGGATAAAATAAAAACACGTGTTTTGTAAACACAATGTCTTTTTCTAAGCCTCCCCTTTAAAATCCTATGTTAAGCATATGTTGTAGGAATTCTATTTGCTAAAGCTGGTCTGCAAACACCTCCAATTCACTCTAATTATGGTTGGATTCTTTTGATTGCCCCAAAAAGTTAGGGAGCTACAGTTTTCATTACTACTCGCAATCTAAGAAAGATGGGTAGTCATCAGGACATACTAACCACACATCATTCCTGTACCATTTCTATCATTGTGCCTGCTTGGTTTAGCTATGCACTGCAGTGTCATTTCTGAAAGCATAAGCGATATGATTCATAGGAACTCTAGTTCTTAATTCTGGTAAAAGATTGTGAAAGAACCGAGAATTGGAAAATATAGGAATAATTTACACAGTGTTTTTGTAAACATTGTCACTCAAATTGTGGTTTTAAGTTGCTTAAAATATTGCTTAATGAAGATAAGAAAATGGAGTCCAGAGGAGGGAAAAGCAAGAATTTATCTTGAAGGTGAGGAAAATAGCTTGTTGCCTGAGTGAAAATGAGCAACCAAAACTTTCAAAAAGAAGTCATGAAAAAAGGAAGAAGGTTCCCTGGAGAAAACCTTGATAAATTTAGTATGGTTTTTCAGTATTTTCCTCTGAGGATCAGTCAAATTGTGTTCTGTTAAATCTGTTCACGGGGTTATTTTATATAAATGTTCCATGAAAGTTTTTTTCTGAGCTACAATTCTTCAAATTAATTAAATAAAAGATGGTGAAGCTCAGCAATGTTTTGACCTGCCCTGCCTATTATACAAAAGTAGAAGTATCTGTAGATGCTACTTTTTTTTAGCAACTAAATATTTCTATCATGGTAAGGAAATGTCAGTAAAATCTAAGCACTTTAAAACCATCAAATTCTCATTATATTTATGTGTGCAGGCAGAGTACATAATAAGCTAGTCTATAGCAGCTGTAAATTTCTGAGGATTTATCTAACCACAAATACATTGAAATGGGGAAATGGGGCTATATTAAACTATGCAAGATGCTGCTGGAGCCCTGCCATTTCTGCAACATCCTGTAATTAATTTATCATGACAGGTCTGGCAAACTGAAACATCCAAT